ATACATACTACGATAATCAAGCCCCGGTCTAGCTACGCGAGCTTTTACATATTGACAAGGTGTCAAATGCGAATCAATACGGGAAGAACAATCATGTCACTGTCATGAGCGTCGAGTACAAAAACTCAGCGGAATTACCACATGGATAAGCACCTACGGGCGCTTACTATGCAAGGCTCTAGGACTTCCTTCAATTAAGCTGGTCTCTGGATCATTTAGAATGCTTAATGCCCTACGATGTACATGATGGCCAAATATGTTGTGGATAAATAACCCGCGTCTGCACATGAGGGGAATTTTGTTGATGTTGATGCTACACCCACGCCTCCTATTGAATCGCAACGACTATCGCAATTGTTACTTGTGCCGCAATGATTTAATAAAAAAAAAAAAAAAAAAAAAAAAAAAACCCGGAATTAGCCTCAATTCAGTGCCGCCAGTGGAACCGGTCTATCATTGTACTACCACCGCCAAAAAGCATGACAAGAGTGGGATTCGAACCCACGCCATCTTACGATGATCAGGAAGCTTGGGGAAGCTGGATTATTAAGGTGGACCTTAACCTGACGCCTTGGACCAACTCGGCCATCTTGCCTAGAGATACTATTCGGCCGTTTAATATCCCACATTAGTTTTTGAAATGTGTGAACTACCCGTAGTCGGTTATTCGGGCTCTATCTCAAACCATTTCTTGAGCCTCAATAATCACTTGTGTTTGCTAGTCTATATCATTTTACGTGCTAATATCCCTGTCTGTACTGTACATTCATATGAACCAAAACTGGACACCAAAGCAGAGGTCTGAATCAACAACCCAATCGCTCCCTGGGGAGGTTATGTGTCTATAGCGAATTGAACCAAGCACATACGACCATAGGGTGTGGAAAATAGGGCTTCCCGTCCGCTCAGCCGTACTCAAGCCACACGCCGGGGGGTTAGTAGTTGGGTGGGTGACCACCAGCGAATCCCTTCTGTTGTATGTTTTTGTCTTTTTTACACCCTCATTGTGTCAAAGATCTTGAAGCTGTAATCCCCAGGTCTCCAATGGAATGGAGGCCGCAATTGTCAAGAATTGGTCTCAGTGGCAACGAATGCACCAAACCCTGATACTAGAACCTGAAGCGCAGCGATTCCCCTGGCTGCTTCGATTCGCACTGCACCAGGGCACAGCACATCTAGCAACGCCGGTAGATACGGAATGGCACCTTGGTCACTGGCTTGTGTTTCCCAAACCGAAACTTGCGGGAGTCAAAATGTGGAGTTGGGGCCCCAAGCTCCACATCAATAGAAGCATCCACAGACTGCCTGGATTGCGGTGACTATAGGCAAATAGCCGGACGCATATCAGGCCACATCGTCTAAGGAGCGGAAATCAGAGGAAATCTGCGGCAGAGCAATATTGATAGTTATTGGCATATAAGGCAATAGGAAAGACCTGACAAAGCAAACAGGTGATAGCAACGCCAAGCCTCCATCCAGTGAGGTATTTCTCGCGTCGTCGCTAGAATTGTCATTGGCAGCCATCTTGACGGTGGTTGTGGTCGTGATGAATGTCATGCTATGACGGATTTCCGAATATATATCGAGGTCGAAAGGAGATCATCTTCATCGCCATTCGGATCAGGGGAATGAATACAAGATATTAATCAGTAGCACAGTTCTTGGCCGGTGGTATGTTCTCTTGCGATGGAAGGTTGCAGCAAATACGTGACGTTACACGGCCGACTAAGGACCCAGTTTATGATAAGCCTTTTCGAAGACGTATATTGAGATCGGCATCTTGCATGGGTCCAAGAGCGCTGCGTGCTGAGCTTCGCTTATCAAATTTAAGGACTTGGAACGGACTGTGCGTCTGTTAAGAATCACCCGCTGCTTGGGCCTGCCATGCGCCCTTGTTACATTATGCAGAGAGTAGTCATACGTAAGTTACTCGCCATGCCGCGTCGTCGCTGCTGCCATGTGGTTCAAACGGGGCTGTACCGGAGAATCGATCCGTCTGACAGCCTTGGGAGTGCCCAGCCTAAACTCTATGGTTGCTTATTTCATTGCCCCTGATATTATCTCGGCGTACAATGCGCTATGATCTTCTAATGGCGACCCAAATTTCTGGCCGTTCATAGGGAGGCAATTTGCTAGTATTCAATGTCATTACTAACATAATATGGAATTAGCATCTAAATTACAGCCAAACGATCAACTTTTGTCGTCTCTTTATTCTAAGTATTCGTATTTTAGGTATAAACATTGGAATGTTACATTGATGCAAAGAATGAGTTGCACAAAGATCTATCCTACTATTCAAGCAAAACCGAACGATCTGTTACGGCATGGAATATTATGCGATCAGAGTGATCCTCTCAGGGGGTCTCAGAGTAATTATCTGCTCGTCCACTATTCCTTGCATAGCAAGTAATCAATCTCAGTCCTTGTAAATGTTCTTGCCTCGGAGGTTTTTCGATCCTAAACAATCGTAACAGCTAGTTGATTCTGCTCAGGAGCTCGATTTGAACGATGACATGTGTTCCTAACTTAATAAGCGTAATAACGCAGAACCTAAATTTGCTGTATCCTACATGGGGCTGGATGATACCTCCAAGCAAGGCACTCCGCCAGCTATATACAATATGGTTCATCTTCGATTACATCACCCCCACAACTTTTACTTCTATACTAGGCAAACCTCAGGCTACCCGACGACACGCCAATCGAACCTGATCCGCATCCGTCATCCGCAGGAGCAATTGCAAATCCACGTCCTGCGTTGTCGCCAAGACTCTCGCACGCGTCTCCTCCGGGCTTTCCCCAGGGTTGGTAACAGGGTGCACCCGATGACTTCGGAGGAGGGCTGCCATGACAGCCACGAACTCAACCTGCGAAAACTTGTTACCCGGGCAGTTTTGAGGCCCGTCTGACCATGGAAAATAGGTCGACCGGGATGGGGTGATGATCTTCTCTGAGACATCGCTAGACGCAGCTGATTTGTTTATCCAGCGGGACGGCTTCCATGTCAAGGGGTCCTCCCAATACTGGGGATGGATGTGCATGTCGAGAAGGCTGGGGTGGACTCCCACGTGGGGAGGGATCATGATTTCTCTGTCGCCTAGCTTGAGTAGCTGGGGGTTATCGTTGGTCCATTTGGGCAGGGATACAATTGGGGGAAAGAGGCGGAGGGTCTCGAGCTGTGGCACAGGGGTCAATGGTTAGCGACAATTGAATTAAAATAACAGAAAATAGCATGGTGATATCGGTGAGTAATTTGGGATAAGAAAATGGAGGTGATACCAAGACGGCCCGACACCGAAGCAGGCGTGGAAATAAATCATTATAGTGCCCCTTGATATTTTCTTCATCAAGCCCTTGCAACTCCTTAGCCACCCAGTCTTGGATTTCCGGATATGCGGCAAGCAACAGCAAGCCAAAGCTCAGCGTATTGGCAGTTGTATCATGACCGGCAAAATTGATGACAAAAATATTTCCAAAGATCTCGTCTACCGTAAGTCCTTTGGGTGGTGAGCCACTTGTATTTGCTTTTTGCTCCCCGTCTACCTTCTGCTCCAGATCCATGGCGCGCACAAATGAAGTCATCAAGCCTCCGCTACCTGCTCTTCCGGTGTTCAACGCTTTCGTTTCTTCGTCCAGCATTTGGACCATATACTCCTTGAAAGCGGTGGCCGCTTTGCCAAGATTATGCCATGACTCGGGTGCGAAAGGCAGAGTGAGTAATTTCCGAGGCATCACCATGAGAAGGATGCAGTTATCCAGCACGGTCTGAAGTGCATCGCGGTAGCCCTCTGGTTCATCTTCTTCAGACTTCACTTCATGATCTTTGGCACTCTGAAAAGGGAACGATTTGCGGAATCCTGTTGCGGCAAGGACATTCAACGAGAGGGTCCGCGGGTCTTTTGCAACACTGGGGATGTGGCCATCGACAGAAGAGTCCCAGACCTGCAGCATCTGGCGTGTCTGTTCTACACTTTCCTCCCAGACAAAGGACATGGCGCTTTCGTTAAATGGTGTTGCTAGGACCTTTCGGTGCCGCGGCCAGTCATTCCAGCTAGCTGTTGAGATGCATGGTCCGTACACTTCGAGTACCTCTAAAGACAAAACCCGGGTTAGCAATTCGTACACAATGTCGCAATCATGACAGAGTAATCCGGACGTACTGTACAATTGACTTGGTCGAATGAAGTCTGTACGCCGTTGGAAGATGTCATGGATTGCATCCGGATCGGCGACGTTAATGTAGATATCGCGAGGAGTGACCAGAGCCCACATGGGCCCATAGCGTTGATGGGACTCGCCGCGATCGGCAAAGTACCAGCCCCGGCGGGAGTAGCGACCGAAGCTGTAATTACGCCAATTGATGGGAAGTTTGTACAGCCAAGGCCAGAGGATTGGTTCGAAAACCATCCAGAGAACATTCAGGGGATCGATGTAAAGGCGCACCAATGGGATTCCCATGCTTGAAGCACGACGGTAGTTGATCTCCAGTGTCACCAAGCTCCACACCAGGTAGGCGAGTGCGAGCAAGCCCAGCGCTTCGAAAATCATCGTGATGGGATGTTAATTATTGGATAGAGCATAGAGGTTTTGCGGGAAAAATCGGCCAAGTTACTGACTGCTATCTTGGGGTTAAAACGGAATTGGGTTGGGAGGGTTTGTCAAACATGAGAAGCGAGTGGTGGGTGGGAAGATCGGTGATGCGAATGAGAAAACGTACGGGAGACAAAAAGGAAGAAGCCTGAATAGCTAAGATGACGGAAATATACTCTACTTACAATCATCACCTCCCATTGGCTCATTATACGCACAGCCTTGTCTACTGCCTGCTTGAGGTGGTCATAAATCCTTGTCCCTACAACGGGCAATTCACCCCCTACAGGGCTATGTGATGGTACCACTGGCCATGAGACTCTCCCCATTTTCGGTGTGGGGTAAGGGGAGACGCAGTGGAGCAATCAAAAACATCAGAAACAAAGCAAAGAAAGAAAAGAAACGGTCTCGAATTGGACAAGGTTGATACCGGGTCTTACAAGGTGCTTACTAGTGCTTACTTGACCCCTCATGAGCACGTCTGGACTGGGCTGATTCATGGCCGACGCTAAATGTGGTATTCCACCATCGATCAGTGCCACAGCCTCATGTCTGATGCCTGGGCCAACGCTTGTCCTTGCGCATTGCAGACAGTGATACAAATAGACCGAAACCCGGCTTTGCCCAGTATCCTGATCAGATCTTGTGAGGTAAGTCCGAACCATAGCCCGCATGTAGGATACCCGCAAACCCTCGTAAAATATCAGATTCGAAGCTGAAGGTCCGTTTTGTGTAGTCATGAACAATATCTTGGTAAGAGCCCAAGGCGATTTTCACTCTTTTGCGAGGCCAGACGCGCCCACATTCATCATCAACTACGCAATCCCTGCCAGAGCACTCGTAAATGAGTTTGGTGTCTGAGAACAATAGTAGTCGGGATGATAGCAGTGTTTCCTGAAATGTCCAGCCTCGAGTCATCCATTTTGACTCAGCGACTAATGCTTCGAAAGGGTCACTTCTCCCCAGAAAATAGAGACCTTGTACTTTAGCGCTCCATCGCCGGATCCGCTGTCTGGCATTCACCCCATATAGTCCGTGGTCCGCATTGGTGCCGACCAGGTCGACCAGAGTAACGTATGAATAGCCATATATGTCTCCCATTGCATTCAAATGTAATGCCTTCTTTGCTATGTCCTCATCTTGCAGAATGCAAAGTTGGTCAACCCAGAGATATCGGATTCTCAGATGACGGCATGCCGTGATAGCGTCGCGAATGACAGGTGATAGTGAGACTCCGGTCCTTGTTAAAGACCCTGGAACTTCAAGGCTTTTGATATTGGAAACAAGAGCTTGAACTGAGCCTTTTGTCTCCCCCCAAACGTAGCTCAGTGTGGCGTATCTGCAAAATGGTGGAGCGATAATGATGCACTGCTGCTCGGTGTCGATAACACGGAAACTGGGTAAGATATATTTGGGGGGTTCCAAGTGACAGGAATCTCTATGGTCAGCAGAATCATTGATATCGCAATCCGGCAGCCAGTGAGATACTCTTTCCCAGTTGATGTTCTTGGCTGGAATGTCCAATGAAATCATATTGTTCCATTGCCGTTCATCCGCAGTATCATGATAAAGTATATCTGGAAGACTGATTAGCCAAGTGCTTTTGTCATAGTTAAAGTAGGGTTTAATTACCTGGGGGGCCGGTTTTGAGTGAACCAACGCGCAGTGTAATGGAGAACCCAAATATCACCTTTTCAAGAAGACTGCATTTATTCGCGACATTCAAATAGATCTTATCATCGCGATCGAATTCATACACACTTTTCAGCCTCTCTACATCTGGTGCGAATAGACTGCAAATCTCGCAATACCTTGATCGCTGTTGTAATTGATCGTATGATCCGAAAGGCAGTCGAACGTGACTTATGTGTTGTATATTCTCGCAGCTATCTGCCCTACAGCCAGTCCCGCTCTCTGGCTTATCTGTGTCGCATCCACACATTCCGCAACACACAACATGACTGAGCCTCATGTGTCTGCATACCTCACAGAGAGGACCATGTGGCATGGAAGTACACTTTTCGCATGCATCATGAAAGCATAGTTTTTGATATAATTGGATCTGAGCCTTTGACCTCACCAATCTTTCGTGGGAGGACCTGAAAGACATCGAACGGTCACATAGGGGGCAGCACTTGTCGATATTGGCTTTGATAACATTAAACTTGGCATCATCGGCAGACAGGTGATATTTCCTCGTCATTATGGTGTTCTAACTGTATTATCTTTCGTTCAGCGAAGGCTAATCCGATACAATAAGTCTGGATGACAACTTCATCCCTAACTCAAGTCGCACGTTTTCTCTCCCGGTCGGGCCTATGCAAGATGATGTGGCATGGTCTTAGTGGCTTGTTGCAGGGATTACTAACACCGGCGCTTTGGACAAGACAGTGTTTTTGCCTCACAAGCTGTCCTTGGAGCGCGCACTACCCATGTCCTATGTTTTATCAGAGCCGTTCAGGGGCTTGGGTTGGGGTTAGCGTCTCCACACTTACTCTTTGCTATATCGTGTATCGGGGCAAACTTGGGGGACTATCCGAAAGAGGAAAATGTGGCCAGTGGAGGCAATGTGAGTGTGAAATTGCACCGCCCCCTCCAATTGTATTGTGGTTACTGTTTGATGTTGTTGTGCCACCGCACATTTGCTGCTCATCGCATCAAGCTTTTGGGATCAAATATTTTTGTACCTCTACAAGTTCAACTTACTTCGCCACTATTAGTCTTCGCTTTACAGAAAAACCAATAGACAAAGGATGGATGACCCCTTGAAGTCCTGCCTGATGTTTTCCAACGAGGACCATCAGTACCAAGCCCTCACATTGGTGGAAGGCGATTTGCCACTGTCGATCCAAAGATCACGAAGTCCTTCGGTCTTCAATCAAAGTAATGGTAGTGTGTGGGTTTTTTCTGGTCTGGAAATGCAGTTGGGATTACTCACAACAGCAAAGCTCCCAATGCACGCCCATTTTCCGTCTTCAGCTAGATGCGCCGGTAACATGGAGGGTTGATGAGAGCTGGCCCTTGATCTGGAAGCTCACATATCATGGAGTGGGAGGAGACGATAGTACCTCTCAGCCGATCACCTTCTCGAACAGCGATTTCTCGAATTGGGGGGTGTTCTGTGTCTATCGGCGCATTTCAGATACGGGAACATGGGGGCCCTGGCGCAGTTATAGAACTGTCGGATGCCACCAGTTTGAAGATCAAGATTCCCCGTGCACGGTAGGTACGAGCGATATGTTTGTTACCCTTGAACCCCACGAGACCTGGATACATGTTAAGGAAGCGCGAAATTGAATTTGATCTGCCGGATGATGCTCAGACCGGCGAGGTCCTCCGATACCAGTTCAAGGGATGCAAGCTGAGCTGGTGGGATTGGGGAGTAAAGGAGGATCACATTGACACAATTGTCTGGGTTTGGGACAACAATCGTCAATCCACCGAATAATAATGGACGGCTGAATGCTCTGGTACCAGCTTCAAATACGCTGCAGTTCACCGTTATTGAATAAGGGGGAAGCGATAATCAATCTACTTGGGCAATTGTCAGTCGCGGCTCGGTCCGACAGCACGTCCAACATTGTATCCAAGACACTCTTAATATGCGGCTGAATGCAGTGAAAAACTGTACATCACGCAATGAAGAGCAGATAGCCAAACAAGGGACCGAGGAAAATCGTAAAAACATGCAATAGGAGGTTGCGATCGCTGGAGGCGTCAGCACAACCTTATTAACCTCTCTATAGATCATGTTATTTCTACATCAAATATACACAATGCCCTACTGTAATTTTAACTTGTTAAAAGCGAGAATGACAAACGCAATCTATGGCAGCTGTCAAATCTCAGTTATTACTACTACAACATGGTCTCTGAAGTCCAGCAGGGAGGTCTGAAATACTTGATTTCCTTGAGAATAATACTGGAATTTATATCTATAGTCGTTCGTGTATTGAAAGTTGAAACTGGCCAATGCTAGGCCTACCGTCATCTTCCCTCTTAGGATCTACTTGGATACTGGGACCCTTTGCGTAATTTCTTTTGCGAAATGACTCTATGCATTAAGCTTCTTGCCTTGAGGGAGGACTAGTCCCTAATCTTAACTTAATTAGAGATTTGGGGTAGACAGCTTTCACAACTCTTTCATTATCAATCTGTATGATATTGATTATGGGAAGTATGTTGAGGGAATATTTTATGACAGGAGTTTACTGTTTTACTTAACCCTATTTTTAACAAAGGCATTTCCATCTACCTCCTTATATAATAGTCTAGGAGCTGGTGCGCAATAGCGTCGGTAGTCACGTGATACAGCACAGTGAGATCAATGCCTTTTTTAGCATAGAGTAAATATTGAGTTCTCTGTAGTAATTTGACCATAGATTGGTACTGCTATGAGCGCACTTTATTTTATTCAGGATAAAACCACTGGAAACTTCCAAAGGACGGAGTATCTCGATAGTTATGAAGTTTGTGTAGAATCATGGTCATATGATAACACGTGGTTCGAGTAAGATGCAGAGTTTTGGCAAGGTTGAATGCAAACAAGTTCAGAAATCATACTAAAATTGCAAGGCCCTCCGCCTATTTATCGACAACTTCTGAGACAGCTCAAAGGGTCCCTCGCTCAGCTTATTTAATCTTTCCGGTTCTAGTATTTGGCGACCGCTGGCGACTACCGGAAACCATTGGCGGCTACTAGCGACCATTGACTACTACTGGCGACCATTGACGATCACCAGCCACTTTGGTAACCTATAAGAAATGTGTATAACAGATCTTCCCCCATAATAAATTCTAATAAGCCCCTAAATATAGTTTCAGGAAAATGGTCTTCGGGTCAAGAGCTCTTCGATTATTAACTGTGCGGATTCTGTTGGCTGGAGTGCGGCTGAGAAAATGGGAAGCCCTGTGCTCCACACCCTGTGATCGGATCTACTAAAGACATCATCAGGAAGGTTAAATATAGACCACGTGCAGATGTAGATTAAGCAAAGAAGATGATCCCACACTGGACTGGTATTATCAAAATATGACCTATCAGGTCATTCTTTGACCGTGCAGGGGCTCTGCTCATCCCTGTCCAAGAAAAAGCTTGCCCGGTGGTGAGAACTTAATAAATCCAACACAATCAGCATCTTCGATACGGCCACATCTCATCCAGGACAGGCATACCCATTCCGCCTCCGCCAGTGTTCAACTACCCTCTTACTCCTCCATTAGATTCTCCTCCCATTACCACCCCATCACGATGCTTAGTCCAGAGTTTTCAACTACATCCGCCACATTCCCCAAATTCAGCCTTCTCCCCCCGGAACTCCGCCTCTCCATCTGGCAACACTCCCTCCCCACCCCCATCCACCAAGGCCTATACATCTACCAAAGGGGGTGTTGGGAGACCCACAGCGTATCTAAGGATGAATTCCACCTCAGCTTCAATCTTTCAAGTCTCACCACCATGAAAGTAGACGTGCCTCCCTTCCTAGTCAACCACGAGGCGCATTCCGTAGCGCAAAACTGGCTGCGTCAGCAAGCAGGAGCCCTCCTCTTCCACTGGACCCCTGATGGCTTCCACTTCACGCGGCCCTTTCAGCCGGCTTCAGACGCCCTATACGTGCCGGACTCTCGGTACCTAGAATTTCTTTCTGAAGGCTCAAATCTGGCCTTCGCCCCTGAATATGAAGGCATGAATTACAAGACCAGCCCGCCTGCGCTCCTCTGCCTCGCCCTTCCCCGGTCTCTATTGGAGCGTGAGAAGAAGGTCATCACGTCCGTGTTCGATATGTTAGAGTATCAAAATTTTGAGGAGGTTTTGGTGGTTGAAGATGTCTCGGAGGATGATGAGGGGCGTCTAAGTGTGCTACCCCGGGTGCAGAGGCCTTTGGGGTGGTCGGTGGTTCCTGGGTCGGAGACGCTGGTGTGGCTTAACTTTGCGAGGGCATATCGCCGGGAGGGATATCGCAAGGACAATGATGCAGTTGCGTTCGCGCGGTTGGTAGAGCGGGCGAGTGTGGGCATTGGTGCGTGGGTTGAGTGGGATTACGACAGACTCCTCAAGGTCAGGCGGGTACGCGCAATTCGGGATTGAGGCGTTGAAGCTCTCTGCTTGGTGTCTGGAGTGAAAGATTCATTTACTTTGGTTAGGGTAACGATATCTTCAAGTTAATATATACTAATGTCTCATAAATGAGGAATAACGAATTATGGAGTTCAGGAACAGCCCGTAGAACAGGCTCTTTTTCGCCTCCGTTCTGAAAGGCTGACAATTACATCTACAATCTTCGTTTAATCTTCATACTGGCTGTCCAGTTCGCAATCTCTCCTTCCTACGTCCCCAAATCGCCCTGATATCACCCCATACCCCCCTTGAAATATCCCGCAAAGCACCTGCACTTTCAACCTGCACGATGTCTGTCAGTAAACATGACCTTCCTGCATTGCACTTGATGATATGAAAGACGTAACTTACCACCGGATATATCACACAAATGAGCACACTCGCCCAAACCCAAATAAAGGAGACAACAACCCACCCCGTGAAAAACTCCCTGTTATACACATACCGCGTCCCAAACAGAGTGAAAGGAACAAGGATCACGGCAATGGCAATGAAGATGACATTCGCTGTGCAGGCAAATCGCTCCGCTTTCTTAACGAGAGCAGGATCCATGGGCTCAATGGTCTCAGTTTCGAGGTACTCAATTATATCGTTCTTCGATTGCGTGGTCGGTTCACTGGGTGTTGCAGTCATTGTGACTATTTCGGTATCATTGTTCTTCTTGGCTGATGTCTCTGTCGAGGTCTTATCTGGTTCGACAGGGACCCCTGTAATAATGTTCGTTGCCGACGTGTCGTGGCCATGTTTCCCCGGAAATAGTAAACTCAAAAGTACAGCGGAAATAGTCCCCACCCCGAACGAGGCCAAGTTTCCGGCAACGGCGTTCGTGGCATCGCCCGTCGTCGCAACACTGATCCCGCCTGATCGCTTCCATGAAGTGATAAACCAGACAATGATACCTAGGCCAAATCCGATCCAGGGGGCTGCGATAGCCGCAACAGTGGACATGCGGTCCCAGAGCAGAATGAGTCCAACGGGAATAGCTGCTCCGCCGACAATCACTCCCAGTACTGTAAGGAGCCAGGTGAGACTAACGCCTGCGGCATTGAGAATGCAGCAGAATGCGGCCAGGACAATGGCGTAGATGACAATGCCCCAGTGGCTGACACGCACGAGTGTCGCAGAGTCGGTGTTCGGGCGGATGTAGGTTTTATACACGTCGAAGGTTAGTAAGGAGGAGACAGCGATGAGTTCAGCGGATGTGGAACTAGTCACGGCCATGAACAGTAGTATGAGCATAAGTACTGCGCCGCCCTTTCCGAGAAGGGTGATGGCGGTTGCTGGAGCCGAGAGTCCGGCGTCGACTTGCGAAGCCGATAACGGGTTGGGGTATGTTGGGAACGCTGGGTTGCTAGTCAGGGCTGCGCACCCCAGACCCATCGCTGTTGCAAAGCCGAATGGAATGCCTAGGTTGATTAGTACCTATTAAACAGCCATGGGCTTTGGGAAGGCCCTGTCACTCACCATACCAGGCAACGCCTCCTAGCATATATGCCTTCACAGATGACTCTGGTCGCGAGGCGATAGCTCGCTGCCAGTAAGCTTGATCAAGCCAGACAGTACTGAACCCAGAAACAAATATATCCACCGCGAAGATCAAACCACCCACGGATCGAAACGCAAGATATGATCCATCAGTATTACGATCGATTGGCATATCTCGCGATGCCTCCTGGAGCAAATCATACAACTTCCCCGGGCTTCCAATGAGATCACTAGTAGCCGACACCGAGAAGCCGAATACCAGTATCGCAATGAATAGAATAACGGTATGAGTATAATCCGCGATGAAAGTTGCCCGCAATCCACCGACAATAACATACGCCGCAACAACAGCAGGAATTAGGAAATTGGCAGCATAAACATTCATTCCCGTGATTGCTGCCACCGCCTGCGCGCCACCTAGCACCAAACAGGCGCTAACAAGCATATTCGTAGCCAAACCATTGTACAAGTAGGTGAGATGGGCGATCTTGCCGTGCCGGGAGAGGACGATCTCTGGCATGGTGTGTGCGCCCGGTGCATTTGCTTTGATCTTGACGGCGATCAAGGCGAAGAGGAGGATCTGCAGCGTGCCGATGGCGCCGTACCACATGGGTCCGCAGACGCCATACGAATATGCGAAAGTCGAACTGGTTAGAAGTGTAGCCGACCATGTCCATGAGGAGACAATTCCAGCGGAGATCAAGCCCGGCTTGACAGATCGTGACGCGGTGTTGAATTCTTCGGCACGATGTGTAGAGAATTGAGTATAGCGATTCTGAAGCCAGGAAATACCAAGCATGAATAGGGCGAAGATGCCACCGATGCCGATGACAATTCCATAGCCGGCACCTGGTGGTAGGACTCGAAGCTCGTGAGACATGGTGGGTATTCACACAGTGGTGTGATGGGGATTGATGCGACATGGTGCATGCACTGTCTGCTGCTAGAGATATAAACCCCGCTGGAGAACGATAGGCTTATCGTGGTTTGACGTGATAGCTGACGCCGAGCACGGCCGGTGCTGCTCGAGAACGGGATGTGGGTGATAACAAGGGCTTTCCTTGCATGTTCTCTCCAATCAAGATGGTGAATGCTTCTTATCGCGGATCATCCCAGCAGTTGGAGAAGCCGCCGTTGGAGTAACCAGCAAGGGTCTGATCCGGCGGCGATCATTTATCAGCACTCGATAAGCTTGACATCATTCTATAGCTTTCATTCTATAGATTTGATTCTAGACTACGCCACACAGAGCCCCCAGCAGGGCTTTTCGGTCGGTTGGACGCCTGTACGTTATTGAGCCCTGATAGGTCCCTTCAGGGTTCAAGGACCGTCTAGACTTGATAGAAGGGACTGATGCTTCAGTTCAAAAAGAAAATTTGCGTAAAAAACACATTGTTTATTGAAGACAAATTCTTTCATTGCCGACATTTGCATCAAAATTATCCATAGTATGTAGTATACTTAGATCCGGGAATCCCACTACACCTGCTCAGCCAGACTTCTAGCCGCCTCTACCGATCCGTTGGCGATAGGAACAAATCCCCTATTTACCTTGGCCTGATCTTTCTCAATCCTGCCCTCATCACTGCCCTTGCTTCCATACCCACCCCCTCCAGGCGTCTCAATAACCAAACGATCTCCAGCCCTCATCTCAACCGAATTCTTTCCCCCAATCGACATAATCTCCCCGTCTTCCCCTTTAACCCACAAATTTCTGCCACAGCGACCATCTTCTCCCCCGTCCATTCCATATGGCTTCACTACCCGCCTCTCAGACAAGATAGATGCCATCATCGGAATCCGAAACTCGACATCCCTCACTACCCCGTCACCGCCTCTATACCGTCCTTCTCCACCACTACCACCCCTGAAACAAAACCTCCTAAGAAGAACCGGATACCGTCGTTCCAAAGACTCCGGATCTGTGATTCTCGTGTTCGTCATGTTCGTATGTACACCATTCGTGCCGGACCATGTCGGACCCGCTCCACTACCTCCTGCGATCGTCTCATAGTATCCAAAATCGTCCGTACCGAATGAGAAATTGTTCATGCAGCCTTGGCTGGCGGCACAGACGCGGAGGGTCTTGAAAATTACGTCGACGATTCGTTGCGAGGTGAGGACGTTACCGGCACAGACAGCAGCGGTGGGAGCTGGATTGAGAAGACTGGGTTTGGGGACATGGACGGTCACGGGGGCGAGGCAGCCGTGGTTCAGCGGGATGTCGGAGTCGACGATACACCGGAGGGCAAATATTATGGATGAGTGAGTTATGGCTATAGGGGCATTCCAATTGCCTTAGGATTCCCGCGGTGGTTAATCAGAGTTCAACCCAGGTAAGTAGTGGTGAAAGATCGGCTTACCGTAGACTTGGGGTCCAGTGCCTGTGAAGTCGAATACCGCTGAACCATCAGCCTCATTGAGTGTAATTTTGAGGCAGATAGGTGTTCCATCGTCCATATAGTCGACCTGTTTCAGCTCTGTTTGATGGAACTCGCGCGCGAGGCGTTTAAAGAGATTGCGGATGGCGAGTTCGGCGGAGGATTGGATGGCTTTCATGTATACCTAGCAGACATGCTTGTGAGTTGTCTGGCCTGGTGGGTGATAAATTCCATTTCGCATGGTTAACTCACCTGAACAACTTCCATGGAATATTCCTCAATAAGCTGATGGATCAGCCGGATGCCACAATGGTTGGCGGCCACTTGGGCTTTCAGGTCTGTCACATTATCTTGGTACCTTCGGGTGCCACTGGAGCCAGGATACTGTGCTGGTTCGTCGCAAAGAAGCCGAGCGAGTCCGACTTCGTCCAGAACGCCGTCTCGGATCAATAGAAATGACTTGAACAAAGCTCCCTCTTGAGCAAGCTCCTTCGAGGATGGAGGCATCGAGCCAGGCAGGATACCGCCAATCTGATCATCTTAGCCGGGAAAGTTGATACAACTTGGAGGGAAGGGTGCACGTACGTCAGCATGATGGCCTCGTGAAGCTGTCCAAAAGATGATTTCTTTCCCCTGTGCATCAAATACGGGAGTAATAACAGTGAGGTCTGGGAGGTGGGTACCCCCATATTCTGAACTGGTTGATTAGCACGGTGAATGGGATGGCAAAATTTCCCTCGTACGAACCAGGTGCATTAGACAACAAAACATCTCCCGCCTTCAACCTTCCCTTCCATTCTTCAATCTGACCCCTTACCGCAAAGGCCATGCTACCAATCATCGCAGGCACATGGGGGGCGTTTGCGACCAGAGACCCATCCGAACTGAACACAGCGCAACTGAAATCAAGCCGTTCCTTGATGTTCGCGCTCACACTCACCTGTTGCAGTACACGACCCATCTGCTCCGCGACGCTCATGAAACGGTGGCGGAATACAGAAAGTTGGACAGGGTCGATAGTATCAGTGGTAACGTTGCGGCCCTTCTCGGAAGCTTTGACGTCAAGGATCAGCTTGTCCTGCGCGGATGTTGCTGAAGAGCCTGGGCCCACGAGTATCGTTTGCGTTTCATCGACCACAAGTGCCGGGCCGTTGACCTTCTGTCCGAGAGGGATGAACTTGAGGATGTATACTGGTGTGTCTGTCCATCCAAGCTGATCAAAATAAACACTATTGGTAGCCTCAGCAGCAGGGCACCTCTCTGTGGGTACGGAAGGCTTCGCTAAGACCAAAGCCGGAACATCAGGCGAAGGGGCAGTGAAAGAGCCTCGACCTATGGCCCGAACTCGAATGCTATCAACAAATACATTACTATCAGTAGGCGTGAAGCCAAATTGCTGATGGTGTGCTTTGACAAAGTTCTGCAACATATCATGGGTCTGGTCCACTGCAATCATAATGGTAGTCTCGCTTCCGTCATAGCGCATGTTGAGGAACCGGTCCACGTCCACGTTCAGTATCCCGTCATTTCCTAGGAGATCCTTGGTAGCCAGAGCGAGTTCCTCCAAGTCCGCTAAGATTGTTGGGAGGTTCGATGAATCGTATGCCTTTGCGCAGGGCCTCTGACCTTCCTGCACCACATCTGCCAGGCCAATACCATAGGCAGAGAGAATTGAGGAGTGCTTGTGGATCAAGACCTTCTGGATACCAAGAATTTCGGCAATGGCACAGGCGTGTTGACCTCCCGCTCCACCAAAGGATGCTAAGTGATGCTTCGTTGTGTCGTAACCGCGAGCCTCTGTCAGGCTCCGAATGGGGCCACACATGGCAGAATTCGCAACGTCGAGGAAGCTGCACGCATATTAGCCTCGATTAATTCTCATATTCCAGCGAGAAGCTTACCCCTGTGCCACCTGCGCCCAGCTCATTGACTTGCCCGTATCTTGGTTAATCGTTGCCGTCAAAGCTTCGAATTTGGCAATAACAACATCGCGATCCAAGGGCTCATCCTCATTTGGACCGAATACAGAGGGGAAATACTCCGGGATCAACCTTCCTAGAGCCAGATTGGCATCCGTAATGGTCAATGGGCCCCCTTTGCGATAGCACGCAGGACCTGGGTCCGAAGAGGCACTTTCTGGTCCAACAGACATCAACCCGTCGCGCCAGAACAGGATGCTCCCTCCACCAGCAGCGATCGTGTTTATATTGAGCTGTGGAGTCTGCATCGAGATTCCCGCGGTGGTGGTCTCAAATATATGATCCAGTGTCCCGTCATAGCGACTAACATCTGTGCTCGTTCCTCCCATATCGAAGCCAATCAGTGGGGCTTCGCTGACCTCATCATAGCAGGTACGAGCATACCCTACCACTCCACCAGCCGGGCCAGAAAGAATCGAATGCAGTCCGGAAAGTCTATGCGCAGGGACTAGCCCACCATCGGATTGCATGAATTCCAACTTGGTATCCGACTTGGCAATATCTGGGAAACTGGTCAAAAACTGCTTCAGATATCGTTCGATTGTCGGAGTAAGGTATCCATCAATGACAGCGGAGTTTCCTCGAGGAACAAGCCTAGTCCGTTGCGATACAGCATGCGAGAGCGAGACATTCTCAAACCCGATGTGTTGCGCCAGGTCTCGGATCTGGAGCTCGTGATCGGGAAACGTGTAGGCGTGCATCAGACATACAGCGATGGATCTGTACCCGTCCGCGTAAATCTTCCTCAGGTATTCCTCCACTGACTCGAGATTCAACGACTTTATTATCTGGACAGTTTCTCCGGATGTACCCGTGAGCTCTCGTGGTACGGGCGGCGACGAGAGGTCCATGCTTCGCAGGTCTGTGTCGGTGCAGTTACGCAGGGTCACGCGCTCTTCCACCTCAAATACCTCGGAATATAGTGTTTCAGGCCTTCGAATTGAGAGATCGAACATGAAGGGTCGCGATTGATTGCCGATTTCCAGCAAGTCTTTGAAGCCCTCCGTGATGAGAAGAGCAGTGCGCTCGCCTTTCCTCTCTAGCAGTGCGTTTGTCGCAACGGTTGTCCCCATGCGTATTGACTCTAAACAAAAGGTTAGCCTGGAGAAAGGCTCGTAACTCAGGATGTCTCCCACCGATATCCTTTGTATCCAACCCTGTTCCCCTCGGAATACTCGTTCCATAGTAAATCTCCAATACGCGGCGGATGGCTTCAGTCGGGGCATCATCGTAATTCTTGGGATCGACAGATAGAATCTTCAACACGATATCTTCCTGACTGGGGACTTTGCAAATGCAGTCGGTGAACGTTCCTCCGCGATCTGTACGGTCGGTCAGTCGCTTGGTATAGTAATTGCAGCATTATCGGGTTGAATGTGGCGCGACAGACCTATAGAGATCCGCAGCTTCTGTCGAGGTTCTACACTTGGCATTGTGATATATGAACACAAATATAGTCATTGAATGTGGATAGAACCAAAATTGTGGCATTATTCAACTCATATGTCAAGCCTACAGATCGTGAGACGGGCCTCATCGGCCGAGAGTGGAGGTGAAGGTGGAGAAAGTCACCGGCCCGTTATCTCCAACATTTCCCCTCCCACCCCTCGTCTTCGGCAGGACACTTGCAGATCTTGCAGCTTATCAGGAAAGTCAGCGGGGAGAACTGCCTTGTCTGTAGTAGGGCTTCCTGTCAGTATCGCGAACCCCGCGTCTTATCGCGGGTTATCGGATGCTCGCTCCGATAGTATCTGATAAGGCTCTGGAGCACATGAATTGCTGCTCGCACAGCACATTGGCATCCTTAGTTTTCAGACCACTTTGCCTACCCATGTCATTCAGGGTGTGGACACATAGTACATGAAGGAAACAAACATGATGCAAGTTCAATATATGACCCTGAACAGACCTTGTTGTCAGCACCTATCGCAACAAATTAGGTCCAGATACTCGCAGATTACTCGGGGATGAAAGCGACCCAAGGTCGAGGGCGAACTGTTGCGAACTCATCCCTCCGCAGGGACAGCTGGCTTGAAGCTAGTTGTCGCTTTTATTGTGCCATCTATACCGGGACGGGCGGTTTGAAAAAACAAGACGGTCTCAAAGACTGGTCCGTCTTTCATCAACATCTCAGTCTGCACAATAACGTCCATAGTACCGATAGGTCCGCTAGTTCTCAATGTGTCAAGGCAATCTCTGAAGTCACTGCTTTTGATCCGCCCATAACGTCCGGCTTCGAGGGGGAGGTACGACCCCATATATTCAGGCATGTCCGGAGGGCCTACTGCTGTCTATGTGAAAGCTATCCTCCACTATCTATATCTTCCTCGCTTTGTGTGCACGATGTCCCAGTCCTTGGCAGGCACGGGTATGACTCTCCATTTCTTGTTTAATGCGGTCCACTGCCCGTCCAGTCGGCCCGTCCGACCTGGTGAACCAAAGCTTAAGTAATCGGGATCTGAACTCGATTCGACGTTAGGATGCTTTCAGTGAGCGGGCGGACCGCTTCCGTGCCGAATTGGTGACAGACTTCACATTCCGCACCACTCGGCCAATACCTTCCAAATAGTACCCGTCAATGATATCATAACGAATAAAGAGAACAAGGGTTCCACTTCCTTTGCAGACAAGCGATCCAATGTGTAGCAAACATTGAAGCTTAGACTAGGCGGTCGTTGTGTGATTGGATGCCGGCACTGGGCCCTAATTTCCCGCAAAAGCATCATACAATTCACCCACCGAGCGCTGAAGAGCGATAGTCAGATAGGGCAACAAAAAAAAAGATTTGAAAAAGGAAAGGATCAATCAAAAACATACAACAGAAGGGATTCGCTGGTGGTCACCCACCCAACTACTAACCTCCCGGCGTGTGGCTTAAGTACGGCTGAGCGGACGGGAAGCCCTGTTTTCCACACCCTGTGGTCGTATGTACTCACTTCTTTTCCGATGAAATTGATATAGATAGAAACTAATGTTGACAGTCATAATTCAAAGCCCTATGGGCATTGATTGTTGGTGCGGGAGGTGCAGTTGGCCGATCTGCAGTGCACGATCGATATCATGACAAGCCGCTTCTCTACTCCACTCCTCAGCAAGCGGATATTTACAGGGACCCCCTTGCCTATGAGACACTGACCCGGAGCTCCCCGCGGGGCCCGTCCGCGACCACTCTAAGTACTAAAAGGGTCCGCAAGGCTGAATTGCGTGGTAGCAAGGCAGTCAAGTCACGCCGTCAAATATATTCCATTAACCAATTGGTAATGCAGCGATCCATTCACTTACACAGGACTAAACCAGTCGGTCTTCGCCTATAATCACCGCATGTGACATGTCGCATGAATTGAGGCTGAGGGTAGCACGTGAAACGTGACCAACCAATGAACAACCTGAACATCGGAGGTTCCAATCGTTCATCTTCTCCTTGCATCGATCCAACTGTTCGTCCTCCCTAGCCATAGGTACATCAGACATTGTACCCTGGAGATGGGTGGCATACCCTTCACATCACGCGCCTGTGCAGCCTGTAAGAAGCGCAAGATCAAGGTCAGTCCTTCAATCGAACTGTTAATCGATGGCTAAACCTGGCAGTGTGATCTGGAGAAGCCCGAATGCTCCAATTGTGTTAAAAGAGGAGGAACGCCTTGCCCCGGTTACCAGGATCGGGACTTCATCCGCCACAGCTTTGAGCCCCGGGATGCGCGCGATGCGGAGATCAAGCTACCCGAAGCCCGGCGGGTTGGAGAGCTCCAGCTCCTGGCATTGCCTGCTTGCTTCAATATGAATCCCGAGGCTCGCACCCAGTTGTTTGCGACCTACATGCACACGTTCTTCGCCTCCAACCCGTCCCCCACTGGCAGGGTCGATAGCTGGTACTCGTTGATGGCGCGCTTCCCAACCTTGGCCGGCAAATCAGACCTGCTGGATCGCTCGGTCATTGGCTTGGCCTCCGTGTTTTTGGGTAAGAAGACCAGGGATGGTCGGTTGGCACATTATGGCCTGGAAATCTACAATAGTGCTCTTCATGCGATGCTACAGATCTTGCAGGTGAATCGTCCGCCAACAGCTACTACTCTCTACTCTGCCATTGTCTTCCAAGCTTACGAGGTAGGTTCAATCCGGGCCAAGACGTCCAGTTGTTCTGACAAGCCACAGACTATGGAGAATAGTGAGACGGTATTGCGTAACTGTCTTGCCCACATACAGGGAGCTGCAGCGATGTTGAAGCAACACGACTTTACCCGGTGTGATCAAACCCTCATCGACGCGATCCTATGGAGACACAAGTGGGCGGCGGTCAGTTTAAGTCTCCCTTGGTGATGGACTTACTAACACTCTTATAGGCAATGTTCACCCTTAACACCCCATACAGTATGCATGTGGACGTTGAATGTCTTAATCTTGGCCGAAAAGACAGCCCTGTCGATGAGCTATTCGAAGTGATTGCCGAAGGCATAGCTCTACGCAGAGATCTGTGTAAACTCATAGGACAATCACATCACGATCGCGAACACGCATGCCACGCACTACTGCAGCGGTGCTTCAACCTTGAGGCGCATCTGCGGGTAGACTGGCTGCATATGTCCGCTCACAGGCTGGACGGCAAACCCACCCCCTGTAGCAGGCAAAGCCTGGGACAGGAGCCCAGCATGCTCCCCCTGGATCCAGGTCTCGCACCATACAACTTCGAAAGCCTCGAAGCAGCCAAAATCTACCTCCTGTTCTGGGTAGCTTCACTGGTCATCCGCCGCGTAATCTATCAAACCGAGACTCACCTGTTGCGAGACCCTGACCCGAGCCGCATGGTGTTCTATGCCAGAGAAATTTGCCGCTCCGTAGCATATTGCATGCAGCCTGAAAATCGGATGTTGGCCGTGCGATCCGTACTTCTGGGACTTTCACAGGCGTCCAAATGTTATATTGACTGCGGGGATAAGGCTGAGTTCGAGTGGTGCCAAGCGGTCTACCCGTTTATTGACGCCAGTGGCTTTGGTATCGCCAGACTTATGAGCGAGATGGAGTGGAAATTTTGGAATGCGGCTCAGAGCCAGCCAAGGGGAGCTCCTTTGTTATTGCCTGAGGCGGTACGTGCTAGTTCGATATGAGCGCACCCAGGAGATAGTAACGCGACACGTATCCCATGCACCGCTGCAGATCTGGGCATTGATATACTAATTGAACCGACGCATTCGCATTATTGCAGCAGATACTCTATTACTTGTTAGGTTTCTACCGATGGTGCGGGGATTACTGGATTTTGTGATTACTTGCCTAAGCTTCCATGGCCATAATATCAGTCCTATGTGGTATAAGCTTCCAGCTCGCTTCCAGCTCCGCTAGGATCGCATTTCTTCTCGCATTAGGAACCTTCCTGGGTTTCCGTTACTGATTAGTAAGAAAGAGTAGTTTATGTGTAATATACTCTCTTCACGGCTCGGAAGAAAAAGAAAAAGAAAGAAAGAAAGAAAAAAAGAAAAAGAAGAAAAATAAACTTTGAGACATTAATAAGACTTTCAGGGACAGTGTCACTGGGTCTATTCTTGGAAATGAATGACCCCTTGAAGCAAAACTAAACTAAATTTACCGCCCTCAACAACAGCTTTCAGTGCTCGTTCACAGTAAATGCATCTTGCAGCAACTCTTTGGTGCAACATCGTTCTTCACGAGTTACCCGCAGCATCAATAAAAGGAACTTAGCGAGGCGCTGTACATTCTCAGTTCCAAATTTATCCTGCAGCCGCTCAGCGAGATATGCAGCAAATCCAGCTTGACCAGCAGGGTCACACATTCTCTCGTCAATAAGTTCTAGATGTTCCTTATTGACTTCCTCTCGTGGTATACCGAAGGTACAAAGTGGAAAGAGTGGCTCGTTGGTTGCTATTTCAAATATCTGGTCAGTGTTAGCAGATGCACTTTATTGTCATAAGGAGTACAGATAATTAAAAGACACTTACCAAGCACCCCAATGCCCAGATATCGATGGTCCAGTCCCAAGGGCTCCCGTGTATAATCTCAGGGGCGCGTAGTGACAGTGGTGTTACAGGCCTCTCGTTGCACTGTCTACGAAATTGAGCTATAAAGGGGAAGATCAGCGACTAGACACAAGATTCTGCGTAGGAATGGATTTGTCTCTTACCGCCACCCAAATCCCCGATTTTGACAACAAGGTTGGAGTGCTGGACATTCTTCAGTTGGTTGTAACGTCTCTGTGAAGGCATCAAGTATTGTGGGGCACTGTCATCTTTCGTCACTCCTTCAAGCCATCTGACTGGACTGAATTGTGGTGGCTCCAGAAAAGCCTCGGTGTCATTTATCGAGTTAGTAACTGCGACCAGCATGTTTCCTGGTTGTAGGTCTGCTCGGGCAGACAGAAAGCGGTCATTAGTAATTATCAGGTTGTTTCTGGCTTGTATTAACTTACCACAATGGACAATATCAGATCTATGGAGGAAATCGAGCCCCAAGAGAATCTGATGTGACATGGTTTCTACATATCCCGCCTGTCGTGGCGTCCATGTGACTATCATTTCTTGCAGATCCGAGATCATCACCGGAAAAACCAGACATAGGTGAATACCATTTGGACCTGTATGATAGAAGTGATCAAGCAGTTCAACGACATGTGATTTTCCAGGGTGATCGAATTCGGACGCCGCCAGATGACGCAGTATCAAAAGCTCCTTTGCATCTGCAGAAGCACCTGCTTTCAGAATCTTTAGGGCGACATGTTGATGGGTACTAGTCTTATCCTTTGCAAGCCAGACAGTCGAGAATTGGCCATACGCTAGCTTTCCGACAACTTCATATTTTTGGCCGAAGGTGTCATGGAGGTGGACGGGGTGGTAACCTCCCCGGCGATACTCTTCAACGGGTTCGACCGCCTTGGTAATTCTCTCGAAACGGCGCATGTTCACAAATTGAAGATCAGTGTGAGACCGTCGCACAATCAAGAATACTGGTAATAGTAAATTGTTAGTTGGCGTTGCGAAAGCAAACTTGAACACTATCAATGTGAACTGGACAGGGGCACTCAGGTGCCAGGAGTTCCCAAGCCTAATATAGACGTGCCACAGTCGCAGTCATGTGACCTAAATACGGAAGAAGCCGAAGCCTTGTTAGCGGTTCCCGAATCGAGCCTGAAGGAGCAAGTTTGATTACATAGGTAATAACAGTACCGAGAAGAAAACTGTCTAGTAAGTTGCCGTCAGCCATCTTGTTGATATTAAATTGGCGAGACTGGAAAGTTAATCTGCTGGCGAAAATATCACACTCTGTTGTCCCCTCTGCTCGGACTAGCCAGCGAGCAAAGCTATCTGCATCGAGTACCTGCGTGTGCGTTATCCCCACACAGTGGACTTTTGGCAGGCCAACAGGCTTGGTAGTAGACCCAGGTCCTGGGCAGTTCCGTGAGAAGGCGTGCACGACGCTCTTTACTATGGCACATAACGTTCTCAGCGGGAAGTATCCCGGATTTATGCGGACTAGTACTCCCACTGCCTGCCGATCCATGAAGCCTCTACGTAGAGCTACTCCGTGATAGTCCGTGATTATTGCTTATATCCTACAGTGTCTTACAGTGCTGAAGCGGTTCAAGCCACACGTATTGATCTTCCGATAAAATATGTATATTACACGGGGCTAGCAGGAATATATTGCATGGAAGGAAAGAATTTCCGCAGCACTTTTTACAACTCTCTAACTGTATGCTATAGAAAGCATTGTCTTGCAAAATTTCTGGCTATGGAAATGTTCATAGCCTTTACTTTTTAGTTCTAGATTTATTCGGTCTTGATCCTCTGCTCGCGTGTATTGGTGCTTTTGCGAAATTCTGCATGCAAGAGGCAATTTCCATGGCATACTAAGCAGAGAGTAAAGTGGCTCTGTTACATTCCAGAGCCTTGTATACATACCCCAGAAAGAGCCATGGCATGGTTTATCTGCCCATACAGGTAGTATCCGATACTACAAAGGCAACTTCATTATCGACATGCAATTACACTGAGTTCTGCTTACCGGCACAAGGTTACCTCCAGCTAAGTAATTCGCGATGGTATATAATTCCATCAACATATTTTTTTGTCAAAGAATATAAGAGACTGGAACGCGTATATAAGGGCCTATGGAATGGTACTCTAATGTTTTTATCAGCTCAAGGATTCGCTCTCTCCAACACTATCCCGTGTTATCTCAATAATCTCCTGGATTCTACTATTCGAGAATTCATTCAACTTCCGTGATGCCTCTCCCCGTTGAATTTAAACCTGCTAACATGTATGCTAAGTCCCCAGAAATGAGGGCCGAGATTCAGCGGCAGGTTCTCAAGTGCTACCAGGAGAACTATCTGGGTAAAGGGAAGATTTACGATAAGGCTGTCGTTATGTAAGTCTGGGCCATCTCTGATACAGTTTGAATGTACTAACTGCCCTCCAGTTGCAACTTTCATACCAGCACTTTTAGTGGCGACCCAAAGGAGCATTGTACGGTTCAGTTTCATTCTGGAGACAGCATGACTATTGAACACATCTACCATGAAGATGAATCTTAATGCGACTCCCCATAGAGACCGCTCAGGGTTATTGCGTTCCGAGTCCGTTCATGAACTATATATTATTAGTTCAGTAGGACGTGGGCATGCATTAATCTCTGGGGATTGAAGAAATTTTATTATTTATTGGATATGATCATGTAATTGAAAATCACTGTATGCAAAACGTTGTAGAGTAGCGTCAGATATCAATGTTACCCTGTGAACTGCGCATTATAGTGGGGGGTTCGTAAGAACATCAAGATAGAAAAGGAAAGGAAGAAACTTGATGAGTACAATATATTAATTGCCCAGAGGAGGTGTGCCCCATCCTTTCTTCACTAACACCTGAAGTCCGTTAAGTATCAAAAGGCGATGCTCTAAGCGATCCTTTATGTGACATTCGTGGACTCCGCACTTAAGCTCGCGGGGCACTTTGCCTAAGCCACGCTGCAAAGGCTTCTAGATATCTGGCCGAAATCTATTTCGCATGATTCCCACGTGCTGCTGGAATATTAATCGGAACAGCCGTAGCGCCACCTGATAGTGCAGCTTGCTGGACTTCCTGTAATTCGCTTTAATGACAAATATGCCAATGAAACAAATCTTTCATTCGCACACCCCTCTGCGAGCTCTAATGATCCATAATACTGTATACTTTCCAGGCCATTTTCAGGCATGCAGTAAGGACTATAACTGGAACCGCAGATGTAAGATTTGACGACAAGGTTATGTTAGCGGTATAAGTCGAAGACAAATTTGGAAATACAAAATTGATCAAGTGACACTATCCACGATAGGTATTTAGCAGTGGCTTTTGCTGATGGCTAGTAAGTAGGCGAGTCTACGAGGGTCTAAACACGAAACTAATTATTAGTGAAGTAAATATAATGATTATAATGTATATGTCTGGTAAGGGACGGTCCCACCTCTAGATCATCGTCCCCTTATTCTGCTTCTTGTCCACATTATAATGCTTCCACATACCCACCGCCGGAAACATCAACACCAAAATACAAGTCGCTGCAATAGCCTCGTACTTCTCCATATACCCCCAGGCATAATTGACCGCATCCCTAACCGCCGACCCAGGCTCATACTTCATCTGCGACAAATAACCCCCAGAGTACAACGTCTCGAACAGGTCCTGATCCTCCGCCGGCAGCGCCCTCCTCAACCCATCCGTGAACGTGTTGGTATAAATCGCCGCCGAAACCGCATACCCAATAGCGCCCCCAATACTATTGAACAGACCCAACATCGACAACAAGATTGGGATCCCATCCCTGTTCGACGCACACATCACCGCCATCTGCTGACCAATAACCAACATACCACCCGAGAACGCAATAAAGATCTGACACATTATTACGTACCCGATATCTGCGTCTTGACCGCGGAAATGAATCATCAACCCGGCACCCAAGAACATCAGCGGTGCCGCAAAGCACAGACATGAGTACTTGAATTCCTTGACCATGCGGATCCAGAAGCCGAAGACGGGGGACCAGACGCACGATCCGACGGTATAGATGGAGGTCATGTAGCCGGTTTTGGTCACGTCCAGGTTGTAGACGACCATTACGAAGTAGTAGAAGTAGCTGTCCCAGCAGTAAAAGCTGAAGTAGACGACTGCGGCAAGGAGGCAGGCGCCGAGGACGGTGCGGTCCCGGAGAAGGTCGTAGGGGATGAAGTGGACCCGGGCGCACCATCTCTCCCAGGCTGCGAAGACAAAGAAGAGAGCGAAACCGATGACTACTTCGGCGATGAAGGCGGCGTTATGGTATTCTGTTCGGCCATAACTAGCTAGGCTGAAGGGGAGGAGGAAGAGTACGAAGGCGGCCATGAGGATGAAGGCACCGATGACTGTCAAGATGATGTTAGAGTCTGTTCTTAGGTTTCGCAGCTTGTCTAGTAAGAGAGAAAAGATTACCATCGAATTCGTGAATGTAGTGGATCAGCGACTGGAACCAGGTCCGGCCATTGTCTTGGCGAACCAGAACACCGGTCTTGTAGGCCTTCCGCTCATAATATTTGAAGACGAAAATGAGGGGCGCGAAGACGAAGGGCTGGACTATGGCGAAGGCACCATAGGCCCAGCGCCAGCCCGAAGTCTTGATAAAGGAGTTGGCGGCAAGAGAACCGGTAAAGGCACAGCAGATGAAAGGCGTTGTGGAGAAGCCAAAAGCAAAGGCTCGATTGCGCAAACCGGACGTATCAGCAATGAAAATCTCCAGAATGAGGTATATAGCATCGTAACCGATCCAGTAGAAGACATAGCCAGCAGCGAAGGCATTGGGGCCATTGCATGCCGCGAGAATGATCAATCCAAGAACATAGACGATGACGAAGACGATCAGGCCTTCAGCACGTCCCCAGATTCCAAGAAGCTTTCCAATGGGTAGTTTCAGCACTCCACCAATGATGGTCGCTAAGATATAGGCCGTCGTGACTTGCGAGGCGTGGGAGAAATTCGAGTAAGCATAGTAGAGCACGTTGGTACTGATGTATTCGTGAAGCGCAAGCATGAAATAGCAGACCCAGATCCTGAGGATATCATTAGTACAGCTCTTCTATATGCTTCCTTGTAATTTCCATACCAGGCGTAAGTGCCGTAGATGGCTTTTTTGCTCCAGACCAGCGCAGCAGCCTCTGCCTTCTGCACTCCGATCGGGGCCTCCTGGGAAACCCCTTCAGGCTGGGCATCTTTTTCGGAGAGCCCCAGGTTAGCGGATGGACCATCTGTCTGGGAATTCTTCGGAAGCTGCTCTACTGGCTGAAGATCATCCACGACATGGTTGGTCTTGCGACCCTTAAGTCGGTCAACGACGACACCCATGATAGCTGGATGAGATATTATCTCTGCAGTGTGAGTAGATGAGTAATGTCAATGGGAATAGGAGTGAGAGAAAAGGGGAAGGAAAAGGGCCGATCGCGGGATGGTTATATAGTGGGTAGCATTTCCTCCCACACCCAACATCTCCCCTGTCAATCATCCATTCAACTTGGCTTTTGGGTCCGCATTAGCGCCAACATCAAACTTTTTTCTTTCTCCTGCTTCTATGGCTCATGTGGAGACTGCTCTTTGGGGCCAAAGTCTCTAGCATCATGGCGTGGCAACTAGGCTCGTGGTGTCACGCAGGAGCCACGCTTGCAGACTGGAGAGTGAGAGTCAGGAATCGATGATGAACAAATAAATGGGGGCCAAGCGATAAGCGCCATCAGATAATCAGGCCAATGCATCAGATAATCTCTGTTGTGGGGCTCACAGCCAATGATATTGATTATTAGCCGGCCAATGCCGGGTGTGATAATAACCTCTTGGCCAATTGCGGCTGTCTAGCCCGGATCATTTATGCCCAAGAGCCACATTCTTTTACAACGATTCCCCAGATTGGCCTAGCTAACCGGCTCCATTGGTCGGTGGACGTATTGAGTATCGCTTTCCGCGCTAGGAAAATTTTACCTCCCCGTGATTGATACTAAAAGCAGCCTGGTCGATCCTTCGATCCAGGGCTTGTGCGTGAAATCTCTGCTGTGTGGCTTTTGACAACCCGAAACATCCGATTGACATTAGAAAATCAACGTATTACCGTTGGAATCCTTGACGGTCAGGCCACTGGTGTTTGGCAGGTGGTGTGGCAGGATGTATCAGCAATCGGACTGTAATGCATGCTCTCGCACACCACCTACACCGATTGGTAGACTCCTGCTTGGCTCTCTCGTATCTCATGATCCATGCGGAAGCTTATGCCGGCATATCCGAACCTGAGCTGTCGTTCTTTTCGGAGCGCCCATTTGGGGGAAACACAGCGTGGTTTGATCAGCCAACAGCGGTCCAGAATCAGTCGCTTGGTACCCACATTGAATCGGCATACTCCGTAGTAACCTCACAGCCTTGCATATTACGTACCTTACTTCTACATGTCTTAACCCAGCAGTTGATTTTGGACGTGGCTTATCTGCTAACCCTGGACTGTAACGCACTATGATGGTGGAGCCCATTTACAACCCATGAACCCTTAAGACCCATAATTGGGGAGCCACAAAATCATTACAAATGGCTTACTAAATTAATGAAGCACTCTTACCACTCCTTTACTATTATCCATCATCCTTTCAGCTAGTGTTATCCAAGATGTATTCTCATTATGCCTTATCAATCTTATCAGGCTTAAACGATTAGGATCATTAGATCTTTTCTAGACTCCGGCCAGATGAAGGTGCGCTCTATAGCTATACAATGTATCATACTTTCTACTCTTTCCCTTTTACTTTAGCTCTCACACGGCAAAGTAAACGCATACTGTTCCATAATATATTAGCGCTTATTCTTTAACAAGGCAAAAGTGTATCCCAGCATCTGTCAAAATAGATTGCACCCTGGATATCTCCGGGGGAGGTTGTTACCCTCATTTATTTCACCGATTACGAGTGGGTGAAGTGCTAGGGAGATGATCACATTATGGTCGTTGACTTGGGGAATATACATGTCGCAAAGTCTGGGGTATAGCTCCGTTCAATAGTGATGCCTAGTTTATGGAGCGCAGAATGGTTGAGTCGCCAGTGTAGTAGAAAGGGAGAGGGGTGTCCATGACAGGGCTGTGGTCACATGATACCATTTCTGGAATGGACCGAACAAGCGCTTGCCCACCAACGGGGCTGCGGATAATTAGTAGGATTGCTAAGTGTGATCTTTCTAGATGTTCGGTTTTCCTTGGGTGGAGCTAAATGGCCTACGTGCTGATCAGGGTCATCACAACCCAACATTCCAGGATCATTTGCCGATCCCCGCACATTTTCGTGCTGATGCCTAAGGCAGGTAGTAATTGAGTGTCACCCAAGATGCCTCGGGGATCCATATCTGACACAATAAACGCCATCTCGGTATGTTTACTGATTACTTGCCCTTTTAGTGGCTGGTATTGACGGGCTTGTCGTCTAGACCGCATGTTTTCATGGTCGCTGTTTCACTGGCACAGGAAAGTGAACCCAGACAATATATATTTACCAGATACAATCGAGGGGCAACTTATCGGGGAACGGGGAGCGAGCCACAAGCAGGAAAAAGAGCCTAAAAATGACTTACTGAAGGGATAGAGAGGTCAAAAATAGATAGGAGCACTAGCCAAACCATAATAGACAGATTTTGGGCAGGACATATACTAGTTACTCTGAGCAGAAGTGTTCACGATTGACGACAGAATGGGATCAATTCTGGCTGAGTTTAGTGGTATATATATAGATGAAATGACGAGTACTAACAGATAACCCTTGATGGTCTAGTTGGTTATGGCGTCCGGCTGTAATGGTTAATTGTAACCGGAAAATCCCTGGTTCGATTCCGGGTCGAGGGACATCTTCTTTTTTGCCTTTTTTTTTTTTCTTTTTACCCGCCCCGCCCACTTCCATATTCACCTCGAAGTCCAAGGCGCTGAAATTCGAACTAGAAGATATGTTACACTCCCATTTATCTACGTATTGCTTCTCTACACATGCAGCTGAAATAAAGCGATAAACGAAGCTTCTGAAAATAATGGCAGACCCAGTAACCGTTCGTCACTGGCCTCGGAGACAATGGCATCATTGAGCTTTCCGGTCAGGCGACATAATGGCTGCGCCTCGATTGCAGTGTGGAGGTGGTTCAGCGCCACGTCCTCAAGAGTCCAACAATCGAGCATAGAGAAAGACCGCCACACTCCGGAGTAGACAATGCTCTTGTTCAGGTCCAGGTAGCCCGACCCAAGCCAGTCCGATTCCAGATCACGTGAGCGGATCGGAGAACAATTTGGGTCTCCGTTCATAGTTATTTAGGGAGTCATGAAAGCTTTGATCGAACAACCATTGCTCCACCAAGAACATTCACTTCCTAAGTGTCCCATTACTTCCTGACGTATATCAGTAGTCATGGATAAAGATAGCCATGTCGTGATTATCGGTGCAGGCGTATTTGGCCTCACCACAGCCTACCAGCTCGCCACCGAGGGCTACAAGAACATAACGGTCCTTGACCGACATATGCCCCCAGTAAGTTCTGTTATGCACCGTGAGTGTTACATCAGCTAATCAGTCCAGGTTTCGGATGGATCCAGCTCTGACATCTCTCGTATAATTCGATTTGATTATGCCGACGATGACTACTTGCGTATTTCTCACGCAGCCTATTTGAAATGGCAGGAGCCCAAGTACCGGGGCATCTTCTACCCCAGCCCGTTTATTCTAACAGGAAGCATGGGCCCCGTCAAGGACTCATGGATGGAGAGGACCAAAGCAGCTCTCAACAGATATAACCTTCCATGGACTCACGTAACCGACGCGGACCACGCGAAGCGGTTACACCCAGTCCTTAGCGGAAAATTAGCCGCACCTCCGTTCTCTGGGTACCAAAACAACCAAGCAGGATGGGCAGACGCCAACAAGGCTATCAGTCAGCTTCGTGATGATTGCTTCGAAGCTGGGGTTTCGTTCATCTGCGGCCGGCGGGGTACGGTTGTTGGGTTTGACACCGATTCCGACAAGAATATCAAGGCCGTACGAACCCTCATTGGAAGCCCCGTGTCGGGAGATCACTTCATTCTTGCAGCTGGTGCATGGGGATCTAGCCTAGTTCCCATGTACAACTCTACCATTGCTACTGCTCAGGTCCTGGGATTCATGCGTCTCACACCAGAGGAGGTGAAGAAGTACGAAGAGCTTCCGATTTACATCAACTTCTCGAGTGGCTGGTTTAACTTCCCTCCTCATGAAGATACTAGCCTACTGAAGATGGCTGTTCACGGGTGGGGATACACCAGGACCCCCAAGGAGGGAGAGCTCACCCTCGCCAAGGGTAACATCTCGACTCCCCCGTTGATCCCGCCTCGTGAGCGTATCAACTTTGTCCCAGCGGATGGCGAGCACAGACTCCGGGAAGGACTGCGCGAGATTCTGCCCGAACTAGCTGACCGGCCTTTTGAGAAGCTGGCTCTCTGCTGGTATACGGATACCCCGACCGGTGATTTCATCATGGACTACCATCCGGATTTCAAGAACTTGTTTATTGGAGGTGCGGGCAGTGGACAGTGAGACTTCCCTTTTGTATCGAATTCGTTTTTGTGATCAAATGCTAATGTTCCGTGCGCAGTGGATTCAAGTTCCTACCTGTCCTGGGTGAATACATGTCGCGGGCGATCAAACGGGACCTACCGGAGAACCTCGCTCAGAAGTGGCGATTCCGGATGGAATACCAGAACCAGGACGATACTTTTCTGGGTGATGGGAGCCGCGCAGGACCTGCGAGACGGGAGTTGACTCCTTATGAGAAGGCTAAATTGTAAATTGTCATTGCCTTCGCATGGTGAAGATTGTAAATATGAGGTTGATTAGTTACGAAGTTAGCGATGGAAGATGGTACTTGAACAGGTTCCTTTAGAGCCATATTCAACCAAAGTTGCATTCCTCCATCTGAGTCAAAAGATAAGAAATCCAAGCGAGATCGCCACTAGCCGGAAATAAACTAGTCCCGAAAGATAAGCACGTGGCAAAACTTCCGCTCACGTGGTCGGCAAAACGCATCTCGGAATTTGCCCCGACGCCGAAATGGATCGGCTACTTCCCCGGCTTATGGCAGGAGTAGATGGCGGAATGTCAATTTATCGATAGCATGGATCGATCCTCTGAGCCCCGAGAACGGAGTCGACAGGCCTGCGAGCCATGTCGGTAAGGTCTCTTGCTCATGAGGAAATGGCCAGACTTGCTGACTCTATGACAGACGCAGAAAAACGAAATGTCCTGGAGAGAGGCCGGTTTGCTCAACCTGCCAAAGATTAAACCACCAATGTGTTTTTTCACTCAGGGACCGAGCAAATGTCACATCTGGCAGGGTGACAAAAGCGTATGCGTCTGTGAGCCATTCTGCAGCCAGAACGCACCTTGATCCTAATGTCAGACTAGAAGAGCTACCCAAGATCGGCTACGGATCCTCGAGTCACAGGTTAATGATTTATATGGTGCGCTATGGTGCGTATATCCTTTACCCTACATATATGTCCCTGTAAAATCGACTGATATATTGTCAGTGCACGCTCCAGCAGAAATGGCGAACCATCACCAGGGACTCCTGAGAGCAATAGTACCTCGCAGAGAGAGCTGGACTGGCAGGTTCCCGTGCAAGAAAGTCCCAGTGATATGTCTACCTTCTCACCAACAAAGTAAGTGTCCTAGTGCCACCTAAAATCGGTATCTTGGCTAATTAGATAAGTCCACATCCACCCACAGAGACATTGCAACACTTTACAGAGGTGTACCGAAAAGTGCTACACCTGCAGCCACTACCGCTGTTCAACATGAACACCTTCCAGTCGGACCTGGCTAAAGCGCCAGACTTTCTCCTATGGAGTTTCTTAACGCTTATACTACCATTTTCGAGTCATGAATTCTACCACGGCAGGGAGATAGAAGCTCAGAAATTCTATTCCCAGTCCGCCGAACAGGCAGTTGTGAAAATGGCCATCGAGGGCATACCACAAGTGGAAGTTCTGCAGTCGCTGTGCTTGCTAGCTCTACGGCACATCAAAGGTACGCATTTCCACATGAACCTGAAGACCTGTTCTAATCCCCGAATAGAAGGCAAACAAGCCCAGGCCTGCATGACAATCGGAATGGCATCCCGACTTCAAGCATTCCGAACCCTACAACACAACAACACCAACCAAACAGAAACCAGAGACCTCACAATGTCCCGCTGCCACTGGAGCATACGCATCCTAGAAAGCATTTTCACACCACAACTCTCCATCCCATCTCCACCACAAGCCCCAACATCCCCCGAATATCCCTACCCGCCCAGCGCACCCGTCCCACCCCCACTCCCCTCCGCATCACCCACCCAAGCCGACATTTTCGACACCACTGACCCAACCAATGACCTTGGAATAGTCGCATACGGCATCCAACTAATAATCATCTGGGGCGAAACAGCCTCCTACCTCCACAACATCCGCACGAATCCTAACCTCAACGAAGAAACCCCCTGGTCCCTATCCTCCACCTACTCAAAGCTCAACCACAGACGCAACGAACACGAAACCCAACTCCCAGAATCCCATCTCCTCCGCAACGTAGCCTTCACCAAACGCACCCGCGCCGAGATATCTACCCACCAGGAATACTGGACCTCCTGGATCTCAATGCAGATCTTCTGCCACGCCCTCGTCGCAATCCAGAATCACCCATTCATCCATCTTGTCATATTACGCGGAAATCGCGGCGTCTCCCAGTCCCGCCTCTTCCTCCAACAAACAGTCGACCACGCCTTATTTCACTCTGAATGGGTATTTCGGCTCGTCCAGGCATGGGAGAACTTCGACCTACCGCTCCACGACCCATTAATAGCCCATTTAGTAGCAGCTACTGCTTCTATATCATGGATATTCCAGTTCGCGAGGGACAGAGGAATTGGAGAAAAAGCACGAGGGCATCTCGTCATCGCAGAGAGACTGTTATCAAGAATGTCAACGGTCTGGCCGCACGTTTCGCATAGGCTTAAGACCCTCCATGCACTTCAGACGTCGGCATCTATGGCGAGTACGAACCCGTTTATATCTTCAGAGCATCAAGGTGCAACGATAACGAAAGGAACGACGATCACTATCCAGCCATTGCTGTTCTGGGATCTACTCGATCCGAAAATCTGTCCAACGGAAACGCCGGGATCATCGGGACCGGCAGCTCCGGGCGCTAGGATGCGTGTTACGACGCAGTTTATGCATCCGCTTAGTGAGGATGAGCCGTCGGTAGGGCAGGAAGAGAGGGGTGTGGGTGGGGTTGGTGGCAGCGGTGTGGGGTTCATGCCGGATGTTCATGCGCATGAGCTGGAGCAGTTATCATTGGATGAGTTGTTTGGGCAGTTGGGAGATGATGAGTTTACTTGGGCGCTTTGAGTGCTTCGTTATGTATGTGTTATGGAGGTCTTATGGTAGTCTACGCCGGTTATGCTATGTATCATGGAGCATTGAATAGAAAGTAGCAGAAAAAGGTTTTGATACATGTAAAAAATGTATTATCACATAATTTGATAAGCTAAGAAGCGAATATAGTGCATAGAATGTCAATGTCTCGTGACAGACGGACGGACAGGACATATTAGCTATGTCTGGTCCAGTGAAACGGGAGCTCTGCTCCACAAGATGCATACAAGCGGCACGCTGCGGCGCGCCATGATCCTCATCTAGTAAGGAATCTGCTGGTGGAAGTAGTCCATCATGAACTTAACTTGGTCAGGGTGAGCAATGGGAACATTGCCGAAGTAGTTACCCAGCTCCATGACGATCTGGGTGCCGTTGGGGCTGTTGGGGCTCCAGCGAGGCAGGCTGCCCTTGCCAGTGTAAGAGCCACCCTGGTTAGGGTTGAGGGTCTTGGCAAAGTTGGCCCAGTAGGCGGACATCTTCGCACCGATCTCGTAGTCGACATCGGTGAAGGGGTAGGTGTCGGCGTTGGCGTAGAGAGCGTTCAGGGCGTACATGATCTCAGACTGGTGGAAGGCACCCTGGTCCTGGCCCGGAGGAGCGTGGGTCCAGTAGTAGGTGTAGAAGTCGGACTCGGCGGCCTTGTACCAGTCGGTGGCGTAGGCCCAGGAGCCAATAAGGGAGGCATCACGGGCGGCGGCGTTCCAGGAACGGTCAGCGGTGCTCTGGTTGTTGTCGGTGGGGTAGAGCTTGATGTAGCGGTCGAAGAGGTCGCCGTACTTCAGGGAAGTGTAGTTGAGGTATTCGTGGACGGTGTAGTCGGTGGTGGTAGAGGCGCCGGACTCGTCCTTGGTGTTACCGGTGATGACGGGGACGTCGTTGGCAGGGCCGTTGATGAGGGTCTCGAGGTAGGTGGAGGGAAGGACGTAGTCGTCCAGGACGGGCTTGAAGATCAGGGGGTAGCCTGCGGAGAGAGCAGTAACCCACCAGATCCAGGTGCCGTTGACACGGTCCTGAGAGCCGACGAGGAGGTCCTCCATGGAGAGCTCACGCAGCTCGGCGACGGTGGAGACGTTGTGCTCGCTCATGTAAGATGTACCGTGGGTAATGGCGGTAGACATGTTGACGTAGGAAGTAGCCAGCCCGGCAAGCATGGGGTCGTAGGGGTAGCGGATACCAGACTCGGAGATACCACCGTGGAAGTAGCCGGAGAAGAGAGGGCTGTTGACGGCGTGGTAGACCTGGGAAGAACCGAAGGACTGACCAGCAACAATGACACGGTCAGGGTCACCACCGAAGTTGGCGATGTTCTTCTGAACCCACTTGAGAACCTCCAGTTGATCCAGGACACCATAGTTGCCAGAGGTGTTGTGACCGGTGGCAGCAAGACCCTCAGCGTTGAGCTCGGGGAGGGCGAGGTAGCCGAAGGCATCGTCACGGCGGTTGAAGGAGATGAGGATAACATCCTTCATGGCCATACCGCCACCATACCACCAAGCATTATCACTGGTCTCGTCGGAACCCTGGTTCCAAACAATGACGGGAAGCTTGGCGTCGGCCGAGGCAGCATTGGTCCAGATGTTCAGGCTGAGGCAGTCCTCGCTGATATAAGTCTCGTAGTTGCTGGGACATGCAGGGCCAAAAGAGGTGGCGTTCAAGGTCGTGTTCCAGGGCTCACGGGGCTGGGGAGGCTTCCAGCGGTTCTGGTAGCCAGTGTCGGCGGCGAAGGGGATACCCAGAAAAGCGGTGACATTGGACTCGGTGGTACCGAAGTACTTCTCGAGAACAGTCTCGTTGGTGAAATACTTGAAGCCCTTGACAGGACCGTAGTTTGTCTGGATGACCTGATCCCATAGCTGGGCCTGAGCGACAGCAGCGCCCAGGGCCACAGCGGCGAGGCCCTTGGTAGTGAATGAGGGCATGCCGGAGAATGCAATGAAAATGGAAAGGAAGGATGGAGATGATGATGAGGGAAAAAGAGTAGCAAACTGGGTGGCGATCGGCATATATATAGGTTCGATTCGAGGTGCTTCTGCAACAAGCGTGGCCAAGGATGGAAATTGAGACCCACCCGGAAGAGACAATGGAATGAGCCTAATGGATCTCAAGCAGTGGAATGATGAAAGTCCTGCCGTTCCGATAAACCCGAAGGTGGTTTGAGTGCGACAATGTGTTAAACCTCTACGGGATGAAGTTTACCCATGTGGAGACGTTCGATTGACTACGCCAACCGATGACGACGGGACAGGAAAACTAGCATCGACGAGACCGTTGAGAAGTTGCGAGAAGAATACCCGTCTCAGATACATGAGGACGGTAGACATTCTGGGAGAGGTGGCGGAGAACACTGCCAGTTCTGCAGGCCGAGGCCGAGGGCAGCTAATCTTCCTTGTATAGTTTCCTCCGCACCCCTGCCGATCAGAGAGGGCTCGAGCTACAAACTACGTGTGATACTGCGACTA